CACGAGTTCACCCTAGGGTCACAGACCATCATTAGCTTGCTAATCCACTTTCACTCTGATATAACATACAGAACTGTACTCGAAATTTAAAAAAGAGATTTTTTTTCGTAAACTTGATATAAAAAAATAAAAATTAATAAATCGATTACAAAAATTCTTTCATCATTTTAATGCTACATTATTCCAGATAAGCTTTAATACTGCCATAAAATGTTTTAAAAATTAAAAAGAAAAAATCAAGGCCGACAAACAAGAGGCTTTGCAAGACCAAGGGTGGACTAAGAAGATATATTTTATATTCCAAAGACAAAATAATGCTTATTGTATTGTCCAATTTTTATATTTATTTTACAATCTTCGACTCTTTAAAGGAGGGGGGGGGACTGCCCCCACTACCCAACTAGTGTATCACATGCATGTTAGGTCAGTCGTGTATTTTTAAATTTTATCTGACCTTCGTTTTTTGGCGTGTCTAATTAAAAACGCGATAATATAAGTTCATACGGGTCTCGGTTTCCGTTTCTCCTAATTGATATATTTTATTTACTGCTATTCAGTTATAGGAATTTAAATAACATTTGCAAAAGATAACCTATCGTGAACAAGAATGAATTAAAAATATTCCGGTTTATTTTCAACATTTTTTAAAAATTCAATTATAATATCCTTATAAGAAAATGGATTAACCCTTAGAATACCACACATAGAAGAGCCCACAGACATGTTATTGTGCGCTCTAGCGTTAAACGATTTATTTCAGGTTATAACCTAAGTGTTTGAATCTCGAGTGGTTATCCACAATAAGTTTGGAGCATCATACCTCCTTTTAACCTCCTCTGATCTGGCATTGAAACTCAATTTAGTGTCGTATGACGTCATCAACTGTTTTTATTTTCTTAAGGTTTTTTCACACTGACTTTAAGACTAGTTTCTCTAAATAAGATAGATTAGTTTGACAATTCATTTGAAATTTAATAGGGATGGGTTGTGTAAAATCAGTCATGAATCTTATCGATACAAATTTAATTCGATTAAGAAAGTTACGATGGATGGATGTTTGTAGCCTAAACGGCTGAACGGATTTGAATGAAATTTGGCACAGGTTTAGAGCATAGTCTCGAAGAACATATAGGCAACTTTTTATCCCGAGAATAGTTGCGGTTCCCGCGGGATTCATTAATTCAACAATGTTTACTCGATCATTCTGCAACGTTTCAACATATCTTATTGAAATTTGGCACAGATATAATAAAGTCTGAAGTACACATGGGATAAGATTCATCCCCGATAAATGTCCACATCCCGAGAGATACGTAGCTTTTTGTTATTTATATCGTTCGTGTCTTCTAATACCACAAGGACGAAGTCGCGGACAACAGCTAGTTTGTCATAAATCTGTGCCGATCTCTAGTCAAAGTATAAAAGAGTTGACGTTTTTTAAAGTGTATTTGGATACTGTCTAAGTTGTCATGGTAAGGCTTGAAATGTTTAGTATTCCGTTACATTCTTTACATACTCTATGATGTTAAAACAAACATGAATTTTTAGTATTGCTATAAAAGCTTCAAACATGTTAATAAACCACCGACTTGTGCTGAACAAACCGTTTTATTGTTGTGCAAAAAATTTTGTTTGCGAATTCCTTTTTGAATTACATCTTTAAATAAATGATGTAATGTTAAGTGACCAAAAAATTAAAAAAGCAGAGTCAGGAATTATCATAAAGAGATAAACAGAAGAAGAACAATCGTTGTGCGATTGTCGTTTGTTTCGCAGCCAATTCAACTGTTTAGTTGCACAACTAAAAATCGAGTTGTGTACCATATAAGGTCATAGGAATCAAAACGAGACGAAACAGATGTGCGATAGTTTAGTCAAATGTGCGCTCTTAAAAAATTATCTACTTTTTAACTGATTTCAAAATAGAGGAGATACTTAATTCATAGGTATTTGCTTATAGTTTGTATATACAGAGAAGAAAATATCCTAAATATAGTGATGGTTTTACTGTGAGGAATCTTATACTGTCGGGTCAGTTTAGTCAAGAATTCTTTAAATAAATAAAACACGAAAATTCTAATCATGAAATTTCATTTTCCCGCTAATTTGTGACACATGCAATAATTTGCACCTTTTAAATGAATCAAGGTGAAATAGCGATGATTTTGCACATCGTTTTATCTCAAGTTTGAATAATTAGTGTAATAAATTAGGCCAAGGAGGCAATTCGTCTTGCACTCATCATACTGCTTTCAGTCCATCTCATTCATCATTTATCGTTCACCTGATTCGTTCATTACAGGTTTTTTAGAATGTTTTTGTTTTATTCATTTTTACAACAATATCCCAGTTCTTTTTTACGCTAGCTATTGTTTAGAAAATTAGTACCGCGCTGTAAAATTGGCGCAACACTAGTTTATTGGCATAAACGTCATATCTCTAACTGACAGCTGTCAATGTCATTAGAAGGATTGGAATATTCGCGCGCATTCCTTACGAGATCTCTTGTGGTTACAATTATATTAATTGTTTAAAACTATCGTTATTTTTTTCACCTGTGAACACAATTATCTATATGGGGTAGCTGCCCACCTCCTAAACCTAACCTATATAGACTGACGACGCCCATAGTGAAATGGATGATAAAAATATTGTAACTAATACAAATTTTAACGTCAATAGAGACTTAGTTGTAGTCGTAGTTATTCGATCTTCGTCTTGTAATTGATTTAAAAGACAAATAAAAACTATAGAATTTCAAATTAACAGTTTAAGGATTACATCATTTACTATTGTTCTAGATATTAATTACGTCTGTACCACATTTAATTGACTGTTAAAAAACACAGCCGAATTGATAACCTCCTTTTTTTGGGAAGTCGGTCAAAAATTAGGAACGATGATGTCATTGGAGATTGAATGATCTTAAAATTAAAAGTGCTTTAATCATAGTTCATACTCAACATTACAATACGACAATTTCTTAAATTCTCTTAAATATTTTAGCTTTAAATATTATAAAAATGAGTCAACACGATCAAAAAACTCATCAAGATAGTGTGAAAAAGTTAATATTTTAAACAGCATTGACATAGAAGGAAGTCATTCAGTCATTCAGTCTGAATATAGATCTGCATTATTTGTTGACCATTCACCATCGTAAACTTGTTTCGGCCCACCTGCATTTGTTTTGTATGACTCGTTATGCATGCAAACAACGCACTGCATTTTAAACCTTAAAGAATATGCTATAAAGATCTTATTTGTTTAATGTTGTTTATATCAAATTATGACGTCATAATGAAAATGGGTCGTTTTCTTGAAATAAAAGCATTATGTCAAGCCTGAAATATGGCTTTATAAATTATTCCTCTTGACTGAATAAACTGTTTGTACTCCAAATGTTTTTATAAACCGATCTGAAGTCATCCACGTATTGTGACTTCTTCAACACTTACTAATATATATGACGTGACGTAATATATGACGTCACGTCTCTTTTCTTTATATCATAGACAATCTTTTGGTTTATTTTGTCCCTTTTAAAATTTTACTAGCTTTCGACCGCGACTCCGTCCGCGCGGTATTAATAAAAACAGAAGCAAGTAGCGTATGTGTTGTTCCAGACTATCCTCTACATCTATCCCAAATTTCATCGAGATTCGTTCAGCAGTTTAGGCTACAAACTCTAACATATATCCATCCATCCATCTAAACTTTCGCATTTATAATATTAGTAAGATAGCAGTGGTAGAGCCTGCTTTAACATCTTCGAACTGTAGGGTCGGCTCGCCCTCAGTAATAAAACGACCACTCAGAAGACAGGCATGAAGTGGGAGTAATTCCGCGTTTCGTTTGATAAGTGTGGTGCCGGAGGCCCAGTTTTAGTCCCTTTCCTTTCAGACAGTGGTGCATTCAGGTGGCCGCTTGCTCGTTTGCCACCTTGATATAAAAAAGTCGTTTGGTTTATTTCCCCTTTTATAATTTTGTAAGTTGTCAAATGCTAAGTTGTAAATATAGTTCAGAATTTATTAAAATGTTAATACTAATCTAACTAGCTTCCGACCGCGACTCCATCCGCGTGGATTTAAAAGTATGTGTTTTTCGGACTATCCTCTACATCTATTCCAAATTTTATCGAGATCCGTTCAGCCGTTTAGGGTACTCTAATAAACATCCATCTAAACGTTCGCAATAATGATATTAGTAAGATGTAGTCCGTTTATAAATTGTCGGAATTGACAACCGATAGGTAACAAAGATCAGATGCAAAATATCATCTTACGGCATCGAATCTGTTTACAAAATGTTTTACGAAAACAGGATAAATTTAACATCGACCAGAAATTAGGTCAGAGACGTTTGCGTTCTGAGATTTAATTAATTTCTGAGTCATTTCCTTTATCGTATTGTTTGTCAATTGGGTGCGAATTGCGCTTACCGCTGACTGCATATTTATAACCGTAAAATTGTTTGGAACCTTGATATTGCCAGAAAATATCGTCAGTGCCAGTTTTAGCGATACTAACGCCCTGGGCGATATTTGTAAGCCCCTCATTTTGCCATGCCTTTAGTTTGGGGTTGCATGGGACAATTCACGGACCTGACAATTCACGGACGGACAATTTCGCCCCTTTCTTCAACGCCCAGGGCACCCTAACATGTCCTTTTTTGACCTAGGAAGGTGTTTTGTATAAATGGGTGTACAGTGTAATTTATTGTTAAATTCTTTATTTGGTTGTTTTGAGATTTATTTTACCGACAATAGTGTTTTGTTTTCTTTAGTTTTTTTTGACCGACTTCCCAAAAAAGGAGGTACTCAATTCATCTGTATGTTTTTTTTAATTGATGCATTTTGTAAACTCAATTCTTTTTTTTATTTATAGTTATATTATATTTTTATTGTTTTTTTATAACTTGTCATTCGTATTCTGCAGTAAGTTTAGGGCGTTTTTTAGATTGGTTATTTTACAGGGATGTGAAAGAAAACATTACTATCAATTTTATTATATTTATTCAGTCATTTCCATGTTTATAAAAATATAAATATTTAAAATAATAAGCATCTTTCGCGCATGTATTTAAATGGTCACTTATTGCTTTGGCCATTTTTCTCTTTACTGTATTAAATTCAGTGCTATCCTCAAATTCTTGTGATATCTCTAAATATGACTTTGCAGTTTTATCGTGTGGGTTCTCTTCGACATAGTAACTGAAAGAAACATTGAATTAAGTGACAGAATTGATAGTTAAATTGGTTGTTATAAACGAAGAGTGGCGTGGCAAATTAAAAGTGGCAGCTTGTTTTGTTTATTTAACATAGCTACAAAGAACAATGGATAAACTACGAGCTAGTGTTAACCATCTATATAACAAACTAGCTGTTGCTCGGGACTTCAACCGCATGAAATTAAAAAAATAATAAAAAACATAACCTATGTTACTCACTGATAACGTAGCTTTTTAATGATGAAAGAATTTTTGTAATCAGTCCAGTAGTTTTTGAGTTGTTTCAATAAATACAAAAATAAAAATCTTTAATATTAGTAGAGATGTTAATTGCTTGCTATTATTATGCAAGATTATTTATAATTCAGTTCCATCTTGAATAAAGCTTTCAACGCCCGATGTTATCCCTGGACGACATTACGGCAACCCCTTTTTACAATGCTTTAGGAGGTTTAACAGGCTTTTGTAAAAGTGCAATAAGCTGCCTTTGACGCCTCTGACTAGCGCCCTGGGCGGAAAACAGGGCGCCCTATCTTAACCCTTAAATGCATATTGTTGCCAAAAGTCTACAAACAAAATTATAGTTTGTATTGAACCATGACTTTTTTTTATTATTTTTACCTTAATCTGTGACTCAAAGCCTATACTGAAATATTGATTTTATAATTATATAAAAAATCATGCATTTAAGGGTTAACTAATCACCTAACCCGAAAAAAAGCTTAAAACCGATACGTTTTCAGTGCAACTACTGTTTTTTCACCACAAAATATAAGCGCCCTTAAAAACAACGGGTAACTAAAAGATTCTCACCTTAAGCATCTTCTGACGTACGCATAATGGTCCAAGAAACAAGAACATGGTCCGAAATGGACCAATAATGGTGTACTTGGACTGCTATTATCCAAAACTTCGGTACTTGAAACACCAGTTCTGTTGTACGCAGGAGTTAAATTCGGGGAATCTTCGCCATATTTCTTTAAATGCAGTTTCCTTATCAACGTGGATGTGGTGACCGGCATTTGTTTATTCACATCCATCTCGAATGTTCTTCTGTTGTATTCTTCGTGGTACTTCTCGACGGCAACTTCTCTTTTAACTTCTGTCACGATTGATTCGAAGTCGTGTGTTGATGATAATTGGTTGATTTTGTGACACAATGCTTGGATGAACCATGAACCGTATAATTCGTCTCTATAATTTTAAGAAGAATTTTATTCAATATTACAAATACCGTTTGAAGAAGGATAATATATATCTATCACAGTTTTGTTATGTATGATGTCAACAATCACAGCATATCTTACTAATATTATAAATGCGAAAGTTTAGATGGATGTTTGTTAGAGTTTTTAGCCTAAACTTCACAACGGATCTCGATGAAATTTGGCATAGTTGAAAAACACATAGGCTATTTATTTTAATTCCAGGCAGACGGAGTCACGGGCAAAAGCTAGCTTTTTAATAATTCTTTTTAAATAAAATCCTCCACACTTACTAAAAGCTATCTTACTATCTTACTAATATTATAAATGCGAAAATTTAGAAGGATGGATAGTTGGGTGGAAGTTTGTTAGAGTTTGTAGCCTAAACGGCTGAACGGATCTAAAGGAAATGTGGCATAGTTGTAGAGGATAGTCTGGAAGAACAAATAGGATACTTACTTTTATAATTTTATGCGAACGGAGTCGCGGGTGAAAGCTAGTAGGATATGTATTTTTGTGCTATTTAAATTAATTAGTTAATGAATTGGTAAAAATGACAAAGGACAAAACTACAGCCTTATTTACCTGTGTGATGGATGTCCGATATAAGAACTATGTAATATCAACATATCGGACTCCGCTGGCAGTGTATAGGGCTCCAGGGATTCGTCGAAATCTTTTCTGATTTTGCTCATTTGTAAGACCGGGACTCCTTGCATTTCATTCTTACCCCGACATGCCTGTAAAAAGGGAATACAGTCTTATCTAAAAGGAATAAGAATTAAATCTATGAACCATTCAAGTCAAACAGCCTTACAAAGAAACGCGGTAAAAAATTCATGTTAGAAATGAACTCAGTATAAGTAAAATTTGTACTAATATTTGCTTTTTTTTTATTCCCAAGTTTAACTTTATACCGTACGAGCTGTTGCCCGCGACTTCGTCCGCGTGGGAAACATACGAACTATATAAATAACAAAAAGCTACGTATCCCTCGGGTACCGGACACCTCGGGGATGAAGCTTATCCCATGTATACTCCAGACTTTGTTTTACATCTGTGCCAAATTTCAATAAGATAAGTTGAACCGTTGCAGAATGATCGAGTAAACATTAAAAAACTAAATTAATGAATCCCATAGGAACCATAACTTATCCCGGGATAAAAAGTAGCCTATGTGTTCTTTTAGACTATGCTCTAAGCCTGTGCCAAATGTCATGGAGATCCGTTCAGCCGTTTGAGCTACAAACGCTAACAAACATCCATCCATCCATCTAAACTTTCGCGTTTATAATATTAGTAAGAAGTAAGAAGTAAGATTAGTAAGATTTATTTGTAAGGCTGTAAATATCGCACAGATATCTGTCACCATAAGGGTTGTATTTAACACAAACACCATTTTAACAATGGCAAATTTATATCTGTGCTTACTTATTCAATGTTTGACTTATTTAGTAGCTAATTTAAAAGAAATCCGTTAATTTACTGTGAGCTGTTGTAAGCCATTTTTTCTATAGTGTAAATCTTCTCCCAGAGATGGCGATTTGACAGTTGTACTTGCAAAAATTGCCATTCATTAAATATGCCATAATAAAAGGCATCTGTTAAAATCTCCTTAAATATCTATTCTTTGTCTGTTTTATCTTATAATCTGATAAAATATATCATACTAGCTTTCACCTTCCGCGTGAAATAAAAAAATAAAACCAAGTAGCCTATGTTTTTTTCCAGACTGTCCTCTACATCTATGCCAAATTTCATCGAAATACGTTCAGCCGTTTAGGCTAAAAACTTTAACAAACATCCATCCATACATCCATCCATCTAAAGTTTCACATTTATAATACTAGCTTTCGCTCGCGACCCCGACCGAGTGGAATTAAAAAAAACAAAAGTGAGTAGCCTATGTGTTCTTCCAAACTATCCTCCACATCTTTACCAAATTTCATCAAAATCCGTTAAGCAGTTTAGGCTACAAACTCTAACAAACATCCATCCATCTAAACTTTCGCATTTATAATATTAGTAAAATCTATATGTCCATATTAAGAGTTAAATCGAATTGCAAATGTGTGATTAACACTCGGAAGGTCTTTGTACAGATAAATAATCACAACAGTAGAAATTTAGTGTTGATTCACTACGGATATGTCTTATAGATAAAAAAGATAACGTTATGAATGTTGCGAAACAAATATTGTTTATGGATTCCCCCACTACAGGTAGATTTTTTATTGTGAGTCATGACTCATGATAATGCAACTCTATTATGGGTCGTTATAGAGATTCGCTCATAACCTTTTAATAAAAAAAATAGTTAGTTAATCAATAAATACTTATTTCGTCCCCAAAACGCCAGCAAAATCATGCGTATTCAAAACAAAATGTAGATATTTTATGTCATACTCATACTAATATTATAAATGCGAAATTTAGATGGATGTTTGTTAGAGTTAGCTGAACGGGTTTCGATGAAATTTGGTACAGTTTTGTAGAGGCGGGAGCTGATCTCGT